ATATAATTTTTGGAACATTTATGTTCCCGAAAATATGTCTGCTTCATTTTTTAAAAAAAAACCACGGTAAAAAAAAAAAAAACTTTTTTTTTCATATTTTTTTAAAATATTAGAAATGTGGGAAATTCTCTAAACGGCGTCTTTAAAATGTAACACTATTGAATCATATATCGCCATTTTCGCATTAATCTAACTTTAAATTTATTTAGCGCATTTGTAAACGTAAAATAGTATGATTGGCTAATTTGATAGACCGTAATTGGAAATAAAAATTAGTGTAACATCATTTAATGCTAACCCCCCCTCCTCCCCCTGTTAAATGACGTTATTTCTGGTCCTCCCCTAAGAGGATTATTATACTTAACCCAAAATAGGAATTTTACGAAGGCTTTAAGGAAACTAAAGCCTTTTATTTTGTAAGTGGATTGCAAAGAATTTTATTTTCTTGCTGAATTTTTTCTGCAATAGATAGATTACATTCAAAAATTTCCCCACGTTCATCACTATTCTGCTGAAAATATTTTATGATGAATTCACCACTAACGTATACATAGCTGAACTATTGCTGATTCTTATCATGTATAAGTTTGCAGAATAAGCATCCTAGTAGAGCTTTTCAGTTAAAATATACAAAGTTTTCTGAGTCTTTTTCTTCAATAGTCCAATCCCTAAGATAGTTAGAATACTTTTGCAGAACTAGATCTGCATATTTTTGTAATATATCCAAACTCATGAATATTCTTAGTGGATTATTATTTTTTTCTATGCTAAGCATTTAAGGTCTTACTTCAAGTTCTAAACTAGAAGGTGGTTGAACCCTAGCATAATCAAGAATGCGCTTCACACAACCTTTTTTTGCTGAACCAATTAGGCGAAGGTTAAAATTTTAATCAGGTAATTTTTGATCAATAAATTTTCTGAATTTTCACCAGATATAGTATATACTAATTTAGTAAATGCTTTGAGTTCGTAATGATCAATAAGAAGAGCTAATGCATATAAAATATGGTAGCTACACTGCTTAGAATCTGAAGATGTAGCAATAACTAATCCATTGAGAATGTTTTCTCAACTACAGTTGCAAATTTAATACAAAGCTCTTATAAAAGATAGGCAGATTCAAATGAATACTTCTTGCATCTTAATACCAGTTATTTCTATATCTTCGCCTGAAGTATCTATATCAATCACAACTCTTAAAGTTTTTGACTATTAATGCATTTATGAATCCCAGGTAAACCATATACTTCAAAAATGTCGTCTGCAATGGAAAACTTTGGAGCTCGATCATTTTAATCAATTTTGATTACCAATTTATTTTTCACTTTATTCTGATCATAAGCATTATATAAACTAGACCCTTTTTCATTCAGAAAAAGAAATAAATAGATTGGGAGATATTCTAATGAGTCTTTTTCATTTAACATATCTCTAGGTGGTAATGAGAGAATTTCCCAAATGGTATTTAGCAAATCCTTAAAAAAAAATTTATCATTAAACTTTTCCTGCCTTAAAGTATATGTCGCATTAGCCTTTTGCTTATTTACATTTAGTAGCTGAACTGATGGAGACTCAGTAATGCTAGTTGAGACATAGTGAGTTTCTTCATTATCTGACTCATAATTAGACTCGCAATTATTATAATTATCTGACCCTAAGTTGGATCCATTATCAATACAACTGCTAGAGTCACTTAAATATTTATCAGACTCAACGCCATCGTAGTAGATGAGCATTAAGCCAGATCCAGTACAATTAGTTTGATCGAAAATAATTGGAATATGTATGATATCAGTTCAAAAAGAATTATATAACTTTATAAAGATCAGAAATGTTTAATTATTTTTTGATGGTTATAAAAAGAGACATATAACAAGATAGTAAAAAAAAATAGGAATAAGCATGTTCTCAATAGGCAAATATAAGGGTAGGTAAGTGCATAATCTATTATATAAATATTGTTACTTACTTATTCTGTTACTAGTATGTACCCAGTATGATATAACATCTAGGGTATTCTTCTGCATAATCTATTATATAAATATTAGCAAAAGAATATCCTATCACTAATATGTAGTCAGATATATATATTTTGGATAGTCTTCTTCAGAAATATTAATAAAATAATGGAAAAAGACTACCCTAATACTAGTATATGCTCAGGTATAGGTATTTTTATTAGTGCATTTATTTTTTCATCCTTTGAAAAAAAAGACGTATAGTGGGTATCATCTATAATCGACAAAATTATCAAGTGACTTTAAAATTTTATAAATGCAAAATAAAATAATAAAATACAATTTTAACCTGATAAATCAATAAAGAAACATAAGCTGAACATTTTTATTGGCTTATTTTATAAAATATAAATAATAAAATTTGAATTTATTTCAGTTCAAAGTTCAGGAATTTTTCGTATAGCATATATAGTAAAAATGAAAATTTCAGACTAAGGATCATGTGAAATTTGAGACAATTTTCACATGAAAATCAATGCATTTAACCTTTTTTCTCACGCTTTGACCGCTCAATAATAATGACTCATTTATCAAAAAGAAAAATTAAGATTAAAGGGCAAGAATGAGATAACAACAGAAGGTTTGAAAAAAAGCTATATATCGTTGATGATTGGGAAGATGAGAATGACAGCGGGTGGGATGATGAAGTAGATTTGTTAAGTAAAAAAGAAGATAAATGTAAGTTAGTTTAGTCAGATTAATGCAGAATTTGAACAAAAGAAACGTAGACCTTACCTTGCCAGAAAAACTAAAAAATCAATATATTTCGATAAATATGGACTCAGTGGCAGTTTCACAAAGGCTGCAAAAGGAACTTCAAAAATATCAACGTTTTTTAAAAAAAATCAATCAACTCCTGAAGACTTTGAAGAAGTTTTGAATGATATGGAAGATGAGGGACAAAATCAACTTGATCTAAAAAAAAGAATCGAAAATTTAAAGATTAAGCTTAAAGAACAGCAAAAGTCATTAATCATAGCTGAATATAATAAGAAAAGAGCTATTTTTGAATATTTGAGACAATTAGATAATAATGGAAATGGAAAGATAAAGGCCAGTGTAGAGGCTTACAATTGTGTTTTATTGAGCATACACTATATAGAGTACGAGTTATCTATTATGGAACAAATTATTAGCTCCACTATGACCATCTTTCAATAAGTCGTCAAGGAAGACATTAAGAAACAATACGATTGATTGATGATGAAGATATTGCAGAAAAATGCCATATTTGAATTCGTTTTCAGGGTGGAATAACAACTTCACTAAAATTTAAGGAGTTTATTGAGCAAAAATTGCTCATTAATTCTGGAATAATTAAAAAAAAACTATTAGTGTGGTAACTGTAACACGTTGGTTAAATGTACTTGGTTATTATTTCCAATCACAGAAACAAGGTAATTAAAGTTTTTTTTTTTCTTTTTTATTATAATATGCTTATTACTTACCATTAACTAATATCATAGGCACATATTACGATGATCATGAGCGTCCTGATATCATAAAATATCGAAAATTATTTTTAGATGAAATCTACAATTATGAAAAATTTATGGCAAAGTATGAAGGTGAAAATATGAACCGGATTTCACCAACACTAGGACCTAATAATAAAGAAATAATCCTTATAACACATGATAAATGTGTATTTTACTCTAATGATGGAAAACGAGGAATATAAGCAAAGTTTGGAGAATTGCTATTATGTAAAAAAGGAAATAGCCGCTCCATTATGGTTAGTGAATTTTTATCAGAAGTGTGTGGTTGGCTCAAATTAAATGCACAACAATTTCAAGAAAACCCTTCCATATCTAAAGAAGCACATACTTATTTCCAACCGGGTAAAGACCAAGAAGGTTTTTGGACAAGTGAACATTTAATAGAACAAGTTAGGACAAAGGCTATTCTTATTTTTGAAATTCTCTTTCCTAATTACATTGCATTGTTTACATTCGATAATAGTTCAAACCATGCAGCATTTAAATCTGATGCTTTTGTAGCCAGCAGAATGAACTTAAAACCTGGAGGAAAGCAACCAAAGATGAGAAATACCATTTTTTGACTAAATAATCAGTATCAATCAATGATAAATGAAAATAGTGAACCAAAAGGAATGAAACAGATTCTAATTGAACGTGGCTTATGAAAAGATGGGTTAAATGCCAATTGTCAGTTGTGTAAAAATGAGGTAAATGATGAAAACTGGATAGATTGTTATGTGCGACGGATTATTTCATTGCAACCTGATTTTTTGGCACAAAAAAATGCATTGGAAGAAACAATATTAGAAGCTAGGCATAAATATACAGTCATACCTCTCTATAGCGAATTTTAATATAACGAATTTTTTGGACAACTATATTAAATTTACCCTCGTTATAACGAACTAGCTAATCAAATTCTTTAAAAAATTCACTATAGCTCTATAACGAAGTTGAAGTTCAGGACATAAAATTCGTTATATCAAGGGTTGACTGTATCTTTTATCCAAAGTTCTATTGTGAACTTAATTATATTGAACGATATTGGAGGCGGCAAAAAGGTTTGCTCAGGAAAACTGTAATTATTCATGATCAGGCTTGCAGCATACTGTTCCTATAACCTTAGAATCTGTAAATATAATTACAATAAGAAAGTTTGCTAGGAAGGCATGGTATTATATGGATTTGTATAGGAAGGGAATCACTGGTAAACTGGCAGAATATGCTGCCAAAAAATATAAATCTCATCAATGTATCCTCGAATATGTATTGGCAGAATTAAATGAATAAAATCGTGACGCAATAATATGAAGTCACGTGAGTTAATATAAAAATCACGTGATAATGAACATTTTTAAATTTCAGACTATTGTTGATTATAGATGATAGCCACAATATAACAAGTTAGTAAGCAAATCATAAATAAAATAAAAACAGATATATACAGTCAAACCTTGATATAGCGAACCCTTGATATAGCGAATTTTTAAATCAAATATATTAAAATTACCTTTACTATAGTGAACTAGCCAATTAAATTTTTTAAAAAATTCGTTATAAGCTTATAACGAAGTTAATATCCAGATCCTAGAATTCGTTATATCAAGAGTTCACTGTATTTGGAAATGAAGTATTCTCCGTAATTATATTATATAAAAATAGAAGAAAACTTCACTTTTCTGATATATACTCAGGTATAATATAGCCTTTATGTAATATAGAGATATACCAAAAAGGGATGTAAAAAGAAATGATAGCGAACTTATCAAATGAATAGAAAAAGAAAGACAACAGGATATACATCCAAAGAATAAGTTTTCTCCATAATCATTATATAAAAAATTGGAAGAAGACTTAACCTATTACTAATATATATCTGGATATATATATCTGAAAAGGAAGTCTTCTGTGTAATTATATTATATAAAAATAACAGAAGACTTATATGTGTTCGGGTATATATAGTCATACCTCTCTATAGCGAATTTTTATATAACGAATTTTTTGGACAACTATATTAAATTTACCCTCGTTATAACGAACTAGCTAATCAAATTCTTTAAAAAATTCACTATAGCTCTATAGCGAAGTTGAAGTTCAGAACATAAAATTCGTTATATCAAGGGTTGACTGTATCTAGGTGAAAAGACTCATTATCTTTCACAGTAGAATTTAGATAATTTCAGGCAGCACTATTCCATATTTTTTTTACCAGAATTATAGACGCAATAACTCGATATTCAAGTTGGTGAACTAATAGAATCTCTCTGGATCCCTACCAGTTCTATGATAGTTTTATGACACTACTACAGCACTATCATAATGTTATCATGACGCTATCATGACACCAAATTGGATTCTCAAATCACATACCCAAAAGATCGATCAGAGTTATACCATAGAGTCAGCAAAAATTAATCGCAAATCTACTGCGCTACCTGTCACCTCTTTTTTTACACTATTTCAGTATTTTAAAAGGTAACAAAATAGGTACAAAAGGTAAGTGTCTCAATATAAAATCTAGCACTCAATTAGGCGTAGAAAGCCAATACCCTTATTATAAAACTAGGTATCCAAAAAGCTACGGAAGGCTAACAACCACAATATAGAAATTGGTATGCAAAGACTCAGAAAAGCGTGATATTTAGATCATATAATGGTAGTTAAACTTAATGGTAGGTGGTAGTTAAATTATATGGTGGTAAAAAAATATGAATAACAAGAAAGATTAAAAGGGATACAGTGTAGGACAAAAAAAACCAGAATTTTTTTTGAGAAATAAAAAGATGCAGATCTCAGCCAAATCAAGTCCGATCTGAACTATGTAAAAAGGAAAATAATCGTAAGGTAAGTGAATATATAAATTTTTTTTTTGTATTACTAAATATTAAAATTTTTTTTCATTTCCTCCTCTCAATATCTTCAATTTTTTAAAAAAAACCTTAAAAATCAATTAATTAGAAACGATGACCTCTAGACAAGAAACTAACTGTCAAGCGATCTTACAATTATGGAATCAGGATATTCGGAAGGCTAAGGAAATCCATCAATGCACTGGAATTTCCCTCACGACTGTATATGATAACCTTACCAAGCTTCGTGAGTCTGAGACGATTCAGCGTGTAGAAGGAAGTGGTCGTCCAAAAAAGATTATGGCTAATGCATCAAGAGCATTAGCCCAATTTGTCCGCTGGGATTCTTCTATTTCAACAAGGACCCTGTCAACGAGGTTGTCATTGAAAGGTGTAGATGTGTCCTATAGGACAGTAGGAAGGCATTTAGCCAAAATTGTATACCAAAAAGATCTTCCAAGAGCAACGCCGATGCTGACTGCAAACCATAAATGTAAACGGGTAGAATGGGCCCAAAATCATCTTAATGATGATTGGGACAAAACTCTGTTTTCAGATGAGACTGCCTTCCAACTGTTCCAGAATACTGTAGAACGCTGGCATAAAGGACAATGACCGATACGCCATATGCCTAAAGATCAAACGAAAATCTTTGCATGAGGAGGATTTTGTGTAAAAGGAAAAACAAGTTTATATTGTTTTTCTCAAATAATGAATGCTGAATTTTATGTAAACGTACTCCGTAGTCACCTTCCAGAGATTGAAGACTTGTTAGGAGATGAATGGCGTTTTCAGCAAGACAATGATCCGAAACACACCAGCAATCATGCCAAAAAATTTCTTTGGGAAAATTTTCCTGAAGTTATTGACTGGCCTTCTAATAGTCCGGACCTAAATCCGATAGAAAACATTTGGAGTATTGTTAAAAGGAATGTGGAGAAGAAAATGCCAAAGAATACTGATGATTTGCACCGAAAGAATGGGACGATATTCCAGAATCGACCCTAATTGGGTTAGTAGGATCAATAAAACGCCGATGTGAACGTATTATAGAAAATAATGGTGAACGAATTCCATTCTAAAAAAATATTAATAAAATTAGCTTCAAATATATAAATTTTATTTAGTTAGTGTCGTTAGTTTTTGCATAATGTGTATTTAAAAAAATTCCGGTTTTTTTTGTCCCACACTGTATCTAGAGGGTAAAATAGATACTCGAGATAGAAAAACAAGTAGATTATATAGTGGTATTTAGATAAATAAATAAATTTTCTAGATCTTATTAGTTAATCGGCGATCTGTCATACATTTGAAATTATATTTAAAAATCTTATTTCTCGGTTTTCCTAAATAAATGTCTACAACTATTACATCCCGATACAAAGGGATAACCTTAGAAGAATGGGAAGCAAAAACACAACTTACAGAAATACAAAGACAGGGTGTACTAGAATTACAAGATGCTTGTGCAGAATTACCTCTTCCTGAAGGAGTAAGATATTGTCTTGATCCAATCCAACTGATAATACTATTATGAACAACTTATTAATTTTTATTCTTAATAGTTTTTAAGTGATCTTGGGCCGGGAACCCCACAACGTACAGCATCACCTACACCATCTGTCAAAGATAATCATAAACAAACACCTTATTCTCGTTTAAGTTCTTCACCTTTACCCATTCCCAAATCACGGTCTACTACAAACCTTTTAGCAGCTGAATTCCAAGCAGCTGAAGCTGCAGCCGCATCAACACCTGATGCGTCACTTGGTATACCTCAACCAATCGAAACTACGCAACAATTTTTTGATTGGTTTGCTAGAATGGAAGCTGATATGGAAAAAGATCAAGAAGATGTATATAGGTGAGTAATTATTTTAATAAGATTAGTATTGAAGTTATTTTTTTATTATATATAAGAAACCTTTTTAAATTTATTATTAGAAATTTTTTAGCAGTAGTCACAATGTATAGAGAGGCCTGCGATAAATTTTTGGAACAAATTGACACTACTGTAAAATTATTTAATGATTTAGATGATAATTTTAAGTTTGTTGAGGAAAGAACAAAAGCTTTGCAGACTGCCTGTGAAAAATTATTGGATGAGCAGGTATTTAATTACATAATCATTCAAATTATTTATAAATTTATATTTAACTAATTATGTTTAAAAAAATGATAAAAAAGAATAATCTTACATCATTAGCAGATTCAATATCCGCTAAGCTTTCATATTACAATGAATTGGAGACTATTACAAAACTATTTAATTCACCAGGAGAGAACATTTGTGAGCAGAAGGAATTTATACCTATACTGGCAAAGTTAGACGAATGCTTAGAATATATGCAGAGCAATGTAGGAATAGTTTAATATTATTTATTGAGTCACGAATATTATGTTGATTATTTTGTTCAATTTATCAATAGCTTAGATATAGAGATTCTGAACTATATCTTATGAGGTTCAGACAATGTATGACAAGAGGAATGGCTTTAATTAAAATGTACTTTATTAGTGCAATTAAAGGTCTCGGATTGGAAATAGCAAAAAAAAACAATCAGGTAAAATAAGTAGAATTGTATATTTACTTTTCTCTATTATATTAATTTCTATTATTATATAGATTATTAATTCAACAGTGCAGTCGGCTTTATTTTATGTAAAATTTAGAGCTATAGCACCAAAGCTAAAAGAATTGATTAATGAAGTTGAGGAAAGATGTCCAGCACATAGAGAGTATGTTATTATTATAATAATTTACCAAAATTTTGGATTTTTTATTTATTTATTTATTATTATTTATTTATACAACTATAGATATTATTCTTTGTTAAATGATTGCTATAATGCGTACTTTTCTGTACGACAACAGTTACTTATTCCTGTAATTTATTCAAAAATACAAGAATTAGGTTTTACCAGTCAAGATATACTTTCTTTTGTGAGGTTTACTTTTTTATAAATTTATTTTATATTTGTTCTATATAATTAAATATTTTTTTGTTGCAGTCTCGAAATGGTTATGCATATATGTTAAACCTCTGCTCGGACGAGTATTCATTGTTTTATAATTTCTTCTCAACAGGCGAAGATGATTTATAGTATGTTTTATAGCGACTTTGATGTTCTTTGACTTTTTAGAGGAATTTCTAATTATGAATATAAATTTTTGTTGATTTAGTGGGAATTTAGATTTGTTGTGTAGTTATATGTATGATTATTTAAGGCCACGAATTATTCATGAAACTAATATTGAAACATTATCTGAATTGTGCACTATACTTCAAGTGCACACCGAAAAAAGTGGAGGTACGAATCAATAAATTATACCTTTTTTATTTTTATTTTTTTTTAAAAAAAGATATTTATACACATGTTAATTAATTATAGAATTGGAAGTCCAAAAATTACAATTTAGTTATTTAATTCGTAATGTCCTTCAGGATGCACAACAACGTCTTGTATTTCGTGTACAAACTTTTATTCGTAGTGAAATACAAAACTTTGTTCCACAACCATCTGATTTGAATTATCCAAATAAGTTAAAAGGTTTGGACTAAAAGTTTGTGTTTACATTTTGTTAAATAATGTGTTGGAAGTTTAATAATTTGATTTCAAAAATAAATAAAAAAAAATATAATATATATAGGCATAAATGGAGAAGTTGAAAATAGCGAAAATATTACAACTCCTTCAGATAATTACCCTACAGGATCTCCATCTACATCATCATCACCAGCTATTTTAGCAGTTCAACAAGATAATGGAGATAATGATTCTATGAGATCTTTTGTGTTATCCACAAACGTTATTGATACAGGAGATATGTATAAGGGATGGTTCCCTACATTACAACGAACATTATGGACTCTTTCAAAGCTTTATCAATGTGTTAATGTAAATTTTGTCTTAAGAATTTTTTCACGTGAATTATATATATATATTTATATTCATTATTTACATTGATTATTATTTTTTATAGGCCATCATTTTTGATGATATAGCTCAGGAAATTGTGGATTTATGTTTGCAATCTTTATTATCTGCGAGCGAGATTATAACTAAGGAGGTTATATAAAACTTATTATATATGTATTAAGAAAACCTTACTTTTCTCTCTTATTTTGACAACTTTTATTTATTGTTATAGAAAAGACTTGATGGACAACTTTTTTTGATCAAACATTTATTAATTCTAAAAGATCAAATTGCATCTTTTGATACACAATTTGTGCACGAAGAGAAAGATTTAGATTTTTCAGAAATAACTGGTAATTAAATTGTACTTATAAACATATTATGTTTTTTCAGTTTAATAACGTTATATATTAAAATATTTTATTCTATGGCATGCAATTAGTCGCACTAAGTGAAATCTTGCAAAACAAGTATTCAATATTGAGTCCAAATACTTTATTTGGTTTAGCTCAAAAAGGGATTCCAAAAGTAGTTGAAAATAGGGTCGATTCGAAGCAAGAAGTTGATAAAGAGTTGAAAAGGATTTGTGAAGAATTCATAACGGAAAGTGCTCAGGCTGCTATCGAACCTTTATCGTCTTTTATATTGAAGGTATCTGCATTTAAAATAAGAAATAATCTTAAACCAATAAATCAACAAACATTATTAAAGAATCAAAATTTTGCAAAACCAGGTATTTAAATTAAATTTAACATTATATAACCGTAGAGTTATTATATTGTGTTAACATTTTGTGTTTATAAATTTTCTTAGCAAAAATTGTTGAAGTTTACGAATCATTTCAAAATTCTGTACAAGCTCAACTACGATATATAATTACAAAGATGTCAGAATATCTTAAAGATCGTAAAACCGAATATATTTTATTAAAACCGATGCAGGTATGAAACCTCAATTGACTAATAATTATTATTAATTCTCACCTTTTTATATATTAAATATTAAAATATAAAATATATAAATATATTTAGCATAATATTATAGATACATATAAAACATTTTCTGATATATTACAACAAGAAAAGTATGAATTCGATATATTTCCTAAACCAATAGGAACATTTGAAGAAGTTAAAGAGTGGGTGAAAGGTGAATGGGTTTGGGTAGATATAGAAGAGACTAATTAATATCGAATATTGATAATAAAGTTCATTAATATTAAAGATTTTTAATAATAGTCGAGCAGTATTTTGGACGAAATTAATTTCGCAATTAAATGTATAATTTTACCAAGTTAGGTTTTGTATAAAATCCAAAACACTAGTTGACATTAGGGTTGTAAAATTAAGGTATTTTATAATTTTTTGCTGTGAGTTACAATGTAAGTTACGTAAGTTACGATTTCGGAAAATATGTCGGAATAATTCGGGTAGTAGCAGAATTAACTTTTATTTCGTTAATTCACTTGACATTTTAACAATCCGAATAAAGTAAAGTTTGAATTGCTGATCGGTATCATAACAATCAAATAACCTTAATTTAAATTTTACGTAATTCACTTCCATGGAAGGCGTATAAAAAAATAATAACCAAAAATTTTCGTATATATAAAATGTAACATTTATGTTTTCTCATTGCTTTTTTGGGTTATAAATTTATCGCGAAAACTAATTTTATCATGATATATTTATATAATGCTTGCTTTATATACTTGATTGGTCATCAATTGAGTACCATGAACATCTCTTTTTTTCTTTTCGATATTATGCCGAAGCAAAAAGCATCTTTTTGGTCTGAGTTCAAAGTTGTTTTTGATATCAACGGAAAAGAAAAATATAAATGCAAAACTTGTTCTAGTACATGGGTCAAAAATGCCTCACGTCTTAAAGAACATATTGAGCAGTGTAAAGGTATTGATGCAGAAACTGGATATACACGAGCCCAAGGTACCAAGCGTAAAAAACAGCAAAAACTTGATGAATATAATTATATCTTTACTTCTAAAGATCAGATTGTTCTAGAAAGTCTTCTTATTCGTGCTTTATTTTCAGCGGGTATTTCATTTAATGTAGTTGAAATGAAGATTTTATTTTATTTTTAAAAAAAGCCTGTCCTTCATTCAAAATTCCTTCACGTTATATTCTTTCAAATACTTTATTAAATCAGGAATTTGAGCATTTACAATTAATTGTTAAATCAACTTTGTCTGAAAGTTCCACATATTGTTTGATAACTGATTGATGGTCAAATATTCAAAAAACCTCTATTGTATATGGTTTCAGTTCCAAAACCTATATTTTTTAAAGCAACTGCTTTTAAAGAAGAACGTCACTCTGCAGAAAATATAGCAATAGGACTTGAAACTACTATGGAAGAAGCTGGCATTAATAAATTTGCTGCAATCATTACAGATAATGCACCAAATATGAATGAAGGCTGCATGGAAAATCTTAAAATAAAAATACCCCCAAAAAATCTTTCTTGGCTGTTGGGCACATGGCATTTATTTATGGATGAAAGATATACTTAGTATTGAATGGGCAAATAATATATTAGAAAAAGCTAAAAAATTATCAATTTATTTTCATAGTCATCAAGTAGCACTTGCAACACTTCGACGTTTGCAGCGAGAAAAATATAGAAAGGAAATTGCCTTAATTTTACCTTATAAAACACGATGGGATCATCATTTTCTTGTGTTAATCATTTAGTTCAAACAAAACTAGCACTTCGATCTACTATTGCTGAAGATCATCTTTGTCTTAATAGTGAAACAAAATTACTTATCGCCAGTAATACTTTTAGGAATAATCTTGAAAAATTTCAAAAATTTTTAGAATCATTTGCTATTTATATTAAAAAATTAGAAGGTGATGAATCATTACTTTCAAATGCATTTCTTGAATATCAACAACTTAAAGTATGTGTGAAATAATATTGATCTACCTAAATCTGTAATTAATGCAATTGAAAAATTTGGTATAGATTGTTGCCAAAATTTTTTATACAACCCAGCTGTAATTCTTACTTATAAATTAGATCCACAATATCATGGTAATCGGCTTAATGCACAAAAATGGGATGTTATTATTGAAAAAGAAATTATTCAATTAGTGGGAGAAGAATATAAAGATATAGTTTTAATAGAATTATTGGAAAAACAGGAGGTTTTGCAGCTAGTCATTTATGGGGTGATGTAATTCAAAAACCTGTAAATTGGTGGAATTTGATGAAAGAAATATATTCAATTCTTAGTAAGGTAGCTATTCAGGTACTTTCAATACCTGCAACCTTGGCTGTTAGTGAAAGAAATTGGTCTACATTTGGATTTGTTCATTTAAAATTACGATGAAAAAACGGGTAGAAAAAATTGTTTATTTGTTTTAGAATTTGCAAATTTACGTGCAATAGATAAACCAATTACATTAGATGGTTGGATTGAAAATATATTGCAAAAAAAAGTTATAGAAAAATCTGATGAAAATCTAGATAAAGAATAAGAAGTAGATGTTGAACCTGATTTTTCGGATTTATATTATTTAGATTTAGAAGAATCAGATGTGGAATTAGATGAATTTTGAGACTAATTTTATAAATATAAAATACTTTGCCAATCATAATTTTGACTGACGATACATAAACAAAACATGATAATAAGAATAATAAGTTTTAATAATTTTGATATGAATAAATAATGTTTGAAAATTTAATGTTCATATAATAAATTTATAAAGGATTTTCATTTTTCAATGGTTAAATTCAGTTTAATTTAAAGTTTATATTGATAAAATTTTGTTTAATCATTGTGGATAATGCGATAAGATATTTTGGACCAATAAAAATCAAGTATATTATATGATAAATATTTATAAGTTATAAGAAATCGATATAACTTACAAAAAAAAAACACTCCTTTCTGCTTTTTCACAAAAATGACTAGAAATACCCGAAAAAACAGTCAGCAAAATAACAACTAACAAAGAGAGCGCTCAGCGTCGCCTCTTCAAAATAACAACAATAAAAAACGAAACACAACTCAAACACTCGAAGTGCCACCAGAATAAAGTACTTCGCAAACGGTTACTCCCGTAATTATGGAAGTTGACCCAACTTCGCAAACAAAAGACAAAGAACCAGAAACATTTGACCTTACAAATGGAAACAATATCAATACCCCTCTCAACATTGACGAAAGTTTTGACGCGTCAGAAAACTTTCTTGACCCAAATACGCCTTCGGTCCAGATGTTTGATAGACCTAAACCTTTGTTCCATAGTTTTTTCCTACTTGATGATTTTCCTGGAACTTCATCGTAACATAAAGTTTCCGCAGTCATAGATCTCCTTTTCGATAAATATGACTCGTTCGCTGGGGTGGTTTCAACAAAAAAACTCTTAAATCATACACAAAGAATCATTAAGATCTCGTTCCGCAACTAAGAATATCGCGATCATGCATATTCAGTACCATTACCCAATTTAGAAGCACACACGTTCTTGCCCCTAGATGTTACACTATCTCATCCATACATTCCTGCAATGTCGATCAAAGTTACGAAAATTCCCCTGGATGTCACATCACATCAAATCAAAACTATATTTGGACGTTACGGTTTGATCGTCCGGTTCAACATAGAAACCAAGAACATGTGGCAACAGGCTACCATCACTTATGCATCGAATACGAACTTTGTCGAACTAAAAAATTGTAATGGCGTTTTTGTACTCAATAACATGGTCCAGATACACATGTGCAACCTCTCAGTAAAGAAATCTGAGAAAAATCAAAGTTTTCAACCAAACTTGCGGGCTTCCCAAGAAATACTACGAGTAAACAACTGATTGATATTGCAAAAATGGTGCTTGCTACTTCTTGGGTTATTCCCAAAGCGAGGTCCAATTATCACAATCTTCAATACGCGTTCTTTTATATCGCATCGGATGATGACGTTGAAGCTGCAATTAGCAATAAAAACCTCACCATAGACGGCAAACACGTGATTTAGACTGCTTCTAACACTAAACTCTATGCAATCTGCTCATCACCTCATCACAAAGCTAGTGACTGCCCTAAATGGAGAAAAAAACCTTCTGACCGTAACATGCAAAATTTGTATCAAAGGTTCCAACCAGCACAGTTTTCAAACTACAAAGCTCCACCTAAAAAGTTGGTAGACGCAATAATTCCTAACATCACTTTTGCTCACATGACCAAAGGATCACAAAGTGACAACCTGAGAAACACTAGCAATAACTATACACTACCTCCCAAACAACTTTCAAATACAAACAATACAAACCATAAACGACAGGAGGAAAGTAATGTTGCTAAGCTAAAAGTGTCCTGGTCAGATAATGTTCCAACTAACTTTGACTACAATTATCAAGTAGATTAAATAAGCTGCCCTACACCTAAAGGGAACTTAAACAATGGAACCAGAGCAGGTGGCTCCATGCATAACAATTCAGCTGATTTTGAGGAATTTGTAAAACAACAATTATCTAACTTAACTGCACAAATGTGTACTCTTGTAAACTCCCTGGTTTTCACTGTTAAGAGAGTTGAATCCATAAAGCAATCCCTTAATATCAAAGTAGTAATCCCAGTTGAAGCTGAGGTGCACAACTTGAATGCTAATGAAATGACCAATGATTTGATACCTCATATCGACACATCCACTTCCACCATCGTACGTCAAAGGAAAACTATTGATGGCTTATGTAGCATTAATGAAATGCAACAAAAAAGATTAAAATCCTTCACTTCTATGGTTAATACCTTGGTTCAGTCTTGTTCAGCTTTCCAATCGATTCTACTTAAGAACCAATTGCTTCCAACTGACCAAGCTGTTATGTTTTTCCCACTTGGTGATAGCTTCGATAATGATATTAACGACTATCTCAAAGGACTTCCCCATTTTTTTATGAGTACTGTCACTACAGATTCCGTTGTACAAGCTGTACAGTCAAACACTAATAATACCATTTCTAAAGATGGTACTGTAATTAAGAAGTTGCAACTCGGTAAATTGCAACTTGGGTTGCAACTGGTTGCAACTCCTTGTAAAATTTATTTTAATATAAAAATTCATAAATAGTTGCAACTCAATGAGTTGCAACTTAAGTTGCAACTAGTTAAAAATTTTAAAATTAATTACAGCTTCATCTTTAACCATTTCTACTCCTATTTCCTATTTATCATTTTCTACCCATAATGTCCGTTCATTTACTAACATCACTAAACAAAATTTTCTCATTGATCTTTATTCCTTATTAGACTTATATGTAGTAGGACTGTAAGAAACAAATTTACCCAATATCATATCCGACCATTTAACCTCACTTTTCATTCCTAATTCCAAGGTTTCTTTGGTATTCCATCTCAATTGAACGCACAGAAATCTGGATTTGGTGTTGGCATCCTACTCAAATCTGTTCTTGCTGATCATGTCTTTTATCATGAAGTCAAACACAATCGTTTAATTATCGTGGACCTGCAATTCGCAAACAAACAAAAACTTAGAATTATTAATTGTTATTTACCGCCAGGAAATTTAGCTCTTAGGAAGGTTATTCAACTTGACCTTATGAAATATATTAGAGAAGCGACTTCTAATAACTACCATATCGTCTTCCTTGGTGACTTTAATGCTGACATGGATAACCTGAAGCTCCACTCACAAGACAGAAATCTTTTTTCCTTGTTGAGTAATGCTCACCTTTTCGATACCTTTACAGTCAAATTTGATCAGCTTCGAGCTGCACATCTTACACATCATTCTACAAAATCAAATTCTCGAATCGACTTCATTTGGTCATCTGGTGACATAATTTCTAACTTCGATCGTTGTGATATTAAAGATGTTTTACCCTCGATATCAGACCACTCTATAGTTATTCTTTAAATTGATAACTTCCTCGCTGCTAAAAACAATAAAAGGAACATTCCCTCAAAAATTGTTTTTGACTATGATAAAATGTCAGACGATAAGTGGCTCGAATTCAGTAACAAAACAGATACGCTAGCCAATTGATGTCAACTTTGTGCTCTCAATAACAACACTATATTCAACCAACAGATATTAAACCGATACTGGGATCTCCTCTAAGAATGTATTGTAAAAGCTACGGATACTGTTATTCCCTCTCACAAATCAAAAGGATAGCATTTGATAAAAAGACCTCCACTACTATCAAAATTATATAGGCAGCTTAAACTTTTATATAAATTCAAGAGGATTTCAAAGAAAATTAAACGCATCTCTATTGTTCCTTCCAACTGGTTAACAGTTATTGATAACTTTTATAATATCATGAAAGAATACGATATTGTACATGTCTCTATATAACCTCATCTGTCAGCCTCTATCATTGATTCACTGTCTCCTTTCATTGAGCAGCTGCTTGGCTGCATTGCGTACTCATTAAAGCTAAACTTCATGAACATGATTTCAAGCTCAAATTAATTCAACAGGCTATTGAAAGAAGATTGGTTAACTATCAATCATCCCCCGCAAAAATGACCGACTCATTATTAAAATGTTCCAAAAGAACTATTATTATCGACCGGTGTATCAACAATGTATACTCATCACGTAACTTTTTAACAGACGAAGACGCAGTCAAACACGAAGTTGCCAGACATTTTCAGATGGCTGCTGGTACCGCTCATGAACACGTTCCCATTGATGATGACTGGTTACCTTTTTATCAACCACTACCTGATATCGACTTCACGATCTATAATGACCTTATGAGCCTACCTTCAGCGGATGAGTGGTATGATCTCATTGCACATCTCCATAATGGAAAAGCACCTGAACCCTCCAAAGTTTCCAATGATATGCTTAAACATCTCAGTCCATTGACGAAAAAACTTCTATGGTATATAATTTGTGGTTGTCTTTCGATCTCGTCACTACTACATCGTTGGAATCATGCGTTTGTTTACCCGATTCCAAAACCAAAACCTTGGGAATATGACTTGAATAATACTCGTCCCATCACTCTGCTTGAGTGTCCCCAGAAAGCTCTCATCAAACTCTTAAATCGTCGACTGTCCAAGATCATGGTCGAACACAATATTTTAAAAGGTCTTAACTTCGCTGGATTGCCATTCAAATCAACGTTCGAACTGCTGCATATTATCGATAACATTAAATATGATGCCAACCATAATAAGAAAGACCTTTGGATTATGCTTCAAGATATGTCCAAAGCATATGACTGCGTCAATATCTTTATGCTGATTAGAGCGCTGGAAAGACTTCGCATTCTATTCAATTTCCTTCAGTTTATCCTGAAAATGTTTGGTAATTGCTACAATCAAATATTTACATTATTCGGTAATACTGACTCTTATAGAGTGGTATCAGGTATCGACCAAAGTGAAATCATCTTCCCATTATTGTGATGCATTTACTACGACCCTTTATTATGTCGTATTCAAAACTCGTCATATGGATACTCCTTATCGCATTCATGGAAGCCGAACGTACTTA